ATGAAGCTGACCGCACCTGGAAAGTCATGAGTGACCACAATTGGAACATCCGCGAGTGGAGCCAGCCAACCAAAAAGACCTGCACAACCAATTGTCTCCAGATGAAGTCATTGAACTATGGGAGGGTGAGGGGGATAGTTTCACCCAGTTTATGTAACCTGTAAAGAGTATAAAAGCTTGGCTTGTGCCCCAGTGAGGTCATTGTCTTTGGTGGCCACTGCGTTGGTACCTTAGCAATTGGGCCCTAGCTCGAGCTAGCCAATAAAGTCCTTTGTTGTTTGCAGCCTGGGTGACTGCCTCTCTGTTCCTGGGGTCAAGGGATAATGGGCAGTAACACTACTACCCTTATCGGAAGAGAGTGGGCCCTGCTTGTTGTGGTATAAACAGTGCTGTCTGCTTGCTCTAGATGACTGATAACCCTTAGGGAGAACATCCCCTGACCTACTTCTGTTGACCTCCAAGTGTAGTCATTTGCCACATGTAGCAAGCAGCTAAGTTTGGCATATATTTGGGGGAGACAACTTGGGAGAAATCCTCTGTTTCCCACAGGCATCATGCTTGGTAAGGGAGAAAGAGAAAGGCCTTCGACTAAATGGACTGACACAGGTGCTGTCACAATGGGTTCAAACATGGGAACATTTGTGAGGATGGTGCAGGACAGGCAGTGTTTCGTGCTGTTATATAGAGGGTTTTAGGGGATTGGAATGGACACGATGACACCTAACAACAACACAGAAAAGGTAGCATTTTGATGCTAAAATTTCACGGTATCGCCAACTAGCTATAACATAAAGTCACATGAGCTGCCACGGTCAACTCTACAATTCTGCTACAACAGTGTAACGTAATGTCGATCCAATAAGCCTTTCAAAATCTCATCCACAGCAATGCATCAGGTGACGTTTTCAAGCCTTCCTAAGCCTAAATTTCATTCCTTTATGATGAACAATAACCGAATGTAGTGCTGCCAAGTCCATTCTAACTCATTCTGACCATATAACAAGGAATGAAACTGCTCATTAGTGTTTCCAAGACTGTAAATCTTTATGGGCACAAATAGTCTCATCGTCCTCCCTTGATGTGGCTGGTATGCTTGAGCCACAGAGGGTATGCAACCAATCAATTAAACTAATGAACCACTAGGGTCTCTTTCACACAACATGTTCATGATAAAACATTGCATTTATTCAGCAACAACGATTTTGTATCAATTTCCAAAAAGATTTGGCCACGTTGGCTCATTTAATCCTCTTGTCTCTTTTAAGCAGATGTTGCTTCCAATGAGATACAGCTGAATAAATTCACGAACCATTAAGTACATGTTCAGTATTGCTCAAATGGTAAGTTGTTGAATCGAGTCAGCATGCAGGTCCATGTGTCTACCTACAACTAAGTGCCTGGCAACTACATTTCTGTTCATATGCCGATAGTTTGTTATTTTGTCAGTCATCAATTACAGAGATGATCTAGAGATTTTCTGTATAGTACGAAGAGGAGACGAAGAAAACAATCTATGCAATTCAGGTAAATGGAACTCATTTTCCTGGAAAAGCCAGGACTCTCAGATAATATTGCTTACCACAGGCCCGTATAACTGGCTCTGGCATTTATTAGATTGATTGAGGCAATACAATACCCAGGCAAAGCACGGAGCAAATCAAAACAAAACAAGACCAATCTGTTCTGAGAGGGCACACCAGTCCAAACTAACAGAGTTCTACCCTGGACACATGAGATGGCGTGAGTTGAAAATGACTCCACAGCAACTAACAAGAACAAAGGCACCAAGTCAAATGGTAATAACTAGTGTGAGAAATGCAACAGAGGTGGAGCCTAAGCAGTAACACAAGCATATTTACATTTCGTGAGCTAGTGTAGGGAGAAATAAAATGATCACTTTAGGGAAACGCTAGCCAGTGAACCCTGGCATAATAAGGACATGCTAACAACGTGGGAGGGTTCTGTGACGAGTTTGCAAATGCTCAGATTTCTGTTTCTCAAACGTACAGGCAAACGAGTCAAAGAGCACTCAGGTCTTCATGGCCAGGAAAGGGAAGCTCCATGGTCACCCACCAAATGAAAAGCTCATTA